GGATAAAAATTCCTCAAACAATTTTTCAAGAAAAGCAAAAGTAAGAACTCGCCAAGAAGTCGATCCACGACCTCTTGTTCGTCGGCCCGAGCCGCTGCCACTGCACTATCTCGCTTCATAACTACGTTCAGAAATCGTTTCGCAGATTTGGAGAGCAGATTCGAGATCAGCGTCCAAAAACACATCTAGTGGTGTATGTCTCGTTACAAATGGCCACTTCGACCTGGTATCCTTCCCTTAGAAAACTTGTACAATCAAATGGCATCACAAAAATGGCGCAAGAAACTCTATAGGTAGCCCGCTTCATACTTCACTCCATTTTCATCGGTTTGCCAAAGTTTAATTTCTTGTACGATTTAAGCTGCTGACTTCCGGTGAAGTAAGCTTGCATAGCTATTCGTGGCATTCTACAGCAGTTCACACACAAAGGATGTAGGCTGCTATAAGACCTCACTAAAGGAGTGTGCAAACCGGTTTCATTCATAAGCCATTATAAAGTTCTTATTCTTTTTTATTATTCTTATGCATCCATCCGCGGATTCCAAGTGCATGGCGCGTCATAGAGAAAACAAGCTCGAAAAATTTATCTATCTTTATTTTGGGGCGGAAGTGGTTACGTGACAAGTGGCGCGCTCACCACGCGAGCGGTCCGGGATCAAATCCTGGGTCGTGAGTCGCCCGGGCCAACCAAGCCTTCCATCCCTCCGGGGTCGGTTAATTGGTACCAGACTTGTCTGGGAGGATAAAAAACACTGACTTGTACATCGGCTGGCCCCCGCAAGTCATTGTATAGGCCACATCGCATTCAAACGCCACTGCGAATGTACAAATGGAAGTAGAATGCGTGCCGCATCCCAAAAAGGGATTGATCAACGGCAAATGCTTTATCCTTTTTTATCCTTAAATCTAGAACTTTTAGTATGAAGCATGTTCGATGTTAATGTCATTCGAACTATAATGCAAATTCACCCACGAAACAGGTCGAAACTTCAGCTTTATTTGCCAATAATTTCAGTTTCCGTCGTGGGAGAAATACATCATCAGAGAATCAGAGGGGATTTTCCGGTGATATTTTGGGCAAGACCCGCTTTTTAAAAGTAATTCCATTATAAAATCCATTCGGACCATACTGAAGACAAAAACTGAAATATTATATTTTGGCATCCCAAGTTTCCCATGTAGGAAAAAACAGTGGAACTTATGAAACAACAATCAGTTGGGAGAGGGCCGAGCTCTGACCAACCTGCTTGCGCCACACATTCAGCTTCTTTTGCGAACTGCAATGGCCATTCAGATGTACTGATCTATACAATGAATTAGAAGAGATTTGCTCGAAGGGTTGATGATTAGTTCTATGAACATAACAATATAGGGGATTTATTATGTTAACAAAAAGGGCGGAAGTGGTGTAGTGGCAAGTGGCACGCAGCGGGTCGGGATCACAATCCTGTGTCGTGAGTCGCATCAAAAGGGAGGGATCAACGGCAAACGCTTTATGGCTTTTTTTACCACACTACATGGAGGATGGGATGTCCCTGCACGAAGCAAAACTCGATTGATTCGATCTCCACATCGTGTGCGCGCACTGATGGCGCCGATCACCACTGCTCCATCATCTTCAAGTGAAACACGGAGAAGGGGTCCTTTCGAAGCATTCGTTGTATGTTGCAAATAGTCTACAATGCCACAAACGTGCAATGTCGGAGACCAAGCTCACCGAAATAAATCGAGGAAATCTTTGTTCCGAGCCTCACCACGTTTGACGCTTCTCAAAGACAGCATACATATACGGTATATCGATAGTTAACCGGAAATTTTTTCTCCTAGTTCATTGTAAGTCATATACGCATCATAATTACGTAGACACGTTCGTGGATAGTCGAAGACGTGGCGACAAAAAAAAGGGTCGATTATGCGAAACTCTACGTATAGCTTTATTCTATAAATTCGTGCATCAGCTAAGTCTTCCTTAACTCAGCTTTTCCAACGGTTTTTATCTGATTTGTTTCGAAAAAAAGGTGTGTTCTCAAAGGAAGAGAATTGTCAGATTAAAGTGAGACGAAGCAGCTAGGAGTTGATCAATCTGTCTCGGGTACGCCGTGTACATCTTACCTCACGAAATTCGTAGGGAGGGTTAGCCAATGCGAATTTCGAATATGATGGGTTGCAGGAGCCAACCGATGTACAAGTCAGGATTTTTGTTTTCCCAGACAAGTGCAGTACCGATTTGCCGACATCGAAAGAAAGGAACGCTCGATCAGCCGGCGGAACGACATACGCCAGGACATGTTCCCCAGACCGTACGCGTAGCATGCAGCGCCATTTCGTCATAACTTCACCTCACTTCACTTCTCACACCTCACGCTAGTTACTTCTTCTTTCACATTTCCAGAAAAGTTTTGCTATCGTGGAAAGGTGTACTGTTCCAGAAACAGTAAAACTCTCCTGTCTCAAAATCTTTCTGAAGTACCTCTTCAAGCTATTCACTTGAAAACGCAAGCACTCCAACGACCTACCCTCAAGCCATCCCATGACAACTATTAACATTGGCCTTGTTCCAGAAGATTATTAAAGACTTTAGGGATACCCTGTGTAATAAACGCGCGACTTTCCCTCGGGTGGTAACTTCGCTTCACAGAGCCTATAAGAAAACGATTTTCATCGTGTGCATGACCTTTCAAATTGGTTAAAGGAATCTTGCGCGGAAAAATCATGATTCTATTTCAGCCATAAATCACTGGCTTGAGACTCATTATCCACGATAATAGTGAAAAGAACTGAAGTATTGCTTTCGTTTTGATTAGAAATTCGAAAACTCGAAAAGGCTGCTACGCGTTCGAATTGCCCACGGACGTCTTTCACGAATGCTGGCGACGGGGATGCTCAAACTTGGTTCTTGGAGTGCATTCACTAGAAGCTCTTTCTGGCCTTCTGCTTCGTTGCATTCACATCTTACACTTCTACTCCATCCTATTCCATCGATCGATTTGTCTCCACTCTCCGAAATCGCGCGCTTTAACCCGATTCTCTCATTGCGTCGCCTGGTACGTAGCCGGCCAAAACGCCGTCTTCTTTCCATGCCTCGCCTGGCTCTGCCTCCTGGTCCTTCGATGGTCCATAACGTGTAGTTTTTGTACGTTTGTTTCTCTTCAGAAACCGAATCTTCATGCGTGAAACTTTGTGTGCTATTTCCAGTGATCACAACTGACATATTCATGTTAGGAAAGAGTGCAAGAATTTTCCGCGCAAGATTCCTTTAATTTTACTCGCGTCAGCCAACCTCATGAGATATGCCATGCACTAAGCTTTACTCCTATGAAGAGTTGCCAGCGGTAATTAAAGGTACTAAGCACGATAATGGCATCAGGGAACTACACTCACAAAAACGTTAGCTAGGCGGTAGAGGAGCAAAGGTTGGCGCTATCGCCTAACGCAATTCGGCTCCAGACCTAAACCGGCCCGCCTCAGAAATCGGAAACAGCCATTTCTTGTAACCTTGCCCCCTCCTACATTCTTTCGGGCACAGCCACCCAAGCGGCCAGCATCTGAGGCGTAATCTCTTCAAAGTCAAGGGGCAGATTCAGGACCTAATTTCTGTTTTTTTTTCTGAGTTGTTTTTCACTCCACCATCATTTGATCCACTGCTTTGAAATTTTTGTTCAATATCAGCTGCTTTTGGACGAACATTTCACATACAGTAAAATGCTTCCATCAGGTGCCCACCCATTTCAATAATTGCGTACAATTCTAATAACTCTAGTCCCAGCGACGCTTTTTCTCTGACGATGAGAAACAAGGGCATAACTCGAGCATCACGAGGATACAATGACCGAGACTCGGTTTCTCCTGCACTATGGTAATCAATGGCAATTTTTACTAAACAACAGGCTCCAAACAATTTGGCAAACTAACAAATTCATCGTGTACAAAATCTGGAAAATTTAAAAAGTAACCAATATCAAACTAACAAGTAACAACAAAAAAGATCCAAGATCAAAGCGGTAAACGTTCCATACAAAAACCCAAACTGTCAAGATAGCTTTTAAAAGGGAGCAACATTTCAACATCTACTCGTACATCAACGAAAACGTTTTCTAAGACTGGAAAACGAACAACAACAGACAAATTCCAGTCAATCAACAAGCAATATTTTCTATAGTTATGTGGCTAAAGTAGCAGGCATCTAACCTTTATTAATAGAAATTTGAGTGAATAAAATTAGTGCTATTGAGTGTACCTTGCAAGTTCAAGTCTCGGCACAATATTCATCGACTGTAACTCTTGAAATAGTAATTTGCATGCATATGGAATTTTGATATTTGCCAAGGATTTGCTAGATCGACAATTCTGGCACCAACCGTGATATCCTATGAGGCCGCAGTCCGAACACACTTCCACCTTAAAAACGAAGATTTCAAGTATCCATTCATTAGCTGATGTTTACAGCGTGGAGGAGCATGAATGACAATACGCGCTGTTATCTCATTGTGATTTGTAGATCGAACCGTATCGAGGCCGCTCATCCCAAACATACCATCCCCTTCAGATTGGTTAATTGGTATCAGAGAATTTCTCAAAAGTTAACAATGCTGACTTGAAATCAACTAGCCAGGCGGTTCATCCAATCCCAATTGAAGATGGGTGTTGGCGCATCTCAAAAACATGGAAGAACGCCAAGCAGCGTTTACCAGATCAAAAATAAAGTATCCTGAGAGATGTCTCCAGTCATCATCTATCTACTAAAATTTGTCCTGTTCAAAACTGAGCAGTCAACATTAAAGGAGGATTGCACGGAAAGAACGAAGGTCGAAGAAGGGAGAAATCGCCTAGTGGGGAGAGCGGTGAATCTCTTGAGGGTGCGGACAGACACGCAATCGGCATCGAAAGATTTGACCTCTGAGATCTAGCATGGCTCAAAGTTGGCGAGTTCGGCGATCTCCGCCCACCGATCGTCTGATCACTCGCCGTAGTACAATAGGTGGCGAGTGATTAGATAGCTGAGAGAGCGTAGTGTTGAAGAGGGCACAGCGATGAGAGTCGCATCAATGCTCAAATCAACGGGCAAGGAAGGGGTCCCATTTCTCCGGTTCTGGGCCGTTTTTCATGGTTTCGCTTTCTTTCTGGTACTACTCACCATCTCTACCTCAATTTGGAATGGGTTGCTTTTCCATCGTAAATTCGTCCTTTAGTTCATAATGAATTTTAACCCAAGCTCATGATACATCTACTACAAAAATTCTTCCATTTTTTGGATAAGAGGGTATAAGATTGTTGGGCTAATTGACCTGAGCACGATTCAATTCATAAGCAATGTTGGTGCCTCTGGGCGCACTCATAGTCGGTCGTCCGATCGTCACGATAGTACAGTCGTGAGCGTTAAATAAGGTCCAGTCCACAGACATGTCTGGCGATCGATAGGCATCCAATGTTGTGCGATCGTTACGATCGGACGACCAACTATGAATGCGCCCTCTCGCTGCGCCTCTCATGACTTAAAGCGAGAAATTACGATAAAATTTCTGTGCAGCATGGAAGAACGAGCAGCACTTCAAGCAGTAGCTAGAGCCCAAAGGAATCGAGATGTGGCCTTTTTGTGACTAAAGGTGCGCTCGTTGCAGCGCCCTGGGGCTGCCAATCCTTTCTGAGCTCCGCCTCCGCCTGTGCTCCGCCCCTCAGCAGATCGCTGTTCGATTATCATTCTGATAAGGTATGCCACTTCGAGCGCGTATCCAATTTTTTTCTCATGGAATGCTATATCAATCAAGGTATGATCTCTGGTGGTATGATGGCAGCTATGGTTTAACGAGTGCCGACGACCTCTTAGTTGGTTGCCAACTCGTCCATTATCGGAGGTCAACGGGCAGAGGAAGTGGTCCCATTTTGCGCGTTTTTGACGGATTTCTTTGCTTTTTTCGCTACTAGGGCATTATTCAGCATCTTCACTTCCACTATGAGCACAACAGAATCCTATCGCAATCTCTCGCTTTAAGATCGGACGACCAACTATGAATGCGCCCTCTCGCCACTGCGCCTCCTCCTGAGGCTTAACTGTCAGGCAAAAAAATTTCACTCACCTTGAACTCATCCGATGAGACCATTAACCGCTCCATAAGAAGCATGGATGCTCCGTATGCAATCAGACAATCACGTTCCATTTCACCCAAACGAAGACCTCCTTCACGAGAACGGCCTTCTGTGGGTTGCCTAGTTAACACAGCCCTAAACAATGTTGCATATAGAACAAATTTCTCGACCAATACTCAAAAATAATCGATCAAAATAAGGAACACAGGATCTTCAAAGAGCAACGTAATAAAATATGTGTAACAGAATCATTCTAACAAACTCTACCTCGGTCCTCGAGCTCTTGCATGCATCTTATCATGAACCATATGTTTGAGCTTCTGGTAGTAAATTGGTCCGAAGTAGATGTAGGCAGAGAGCTGCTGACCGGTGATCCCACTGGTAAGCATGTCCTTGCCCAAGTAATTGTACCCTCGCGATGCCAGTTCGTTACATACATCGTTAACCTGAAAACTACACGAATCCGAGAATTGCCGAGCAAACGTCATCACTGTTGAATAAAACAATGAAAATTAATTTTTTAGAGCAGAGCATTCTTCTTATACTGGACTGACCTGATCGCCACCGAAAGCTGTACCGTAGTGATAACGTCCACTTAGAACCGCATTCTTGCTGCTGAGTAGCTCCATGAGCTTTTCCCACAGTCATTCGAGATGGATATCCATGTGGATTCATAATCATGTCTGGCACCATGCCGAGGTCATTGAAAGGAAGATCTTCCTATAAAACAAGATTCAGCCATTTCCAGCAGGGGTGCACCACTCAGAAATTTCTTTATGTATATATTCGAAACTCCCTGAAGTATAATATCAAATTACCTGAGCAGCAATTAGGCCACACACTCCTTTTTGTCCATGCCGCGAAGAGAACTTGTCTCCCAGTTCTGGCCGTCTAAAAGATAATCGGAAAGTGTAAAACTGCTCTGAATGCATTAATTTTATACAGTAAATCTCATTTTCAGCTTCCAAAAGCCCATCAAAAAACATAAAAAGCACTAAGGTCAAAAAATAAATGCCGCCGACGCCTAGATATTACAATCTTGGCGAAATATCGAATCGCAAAAGAACCAGTAGCGTAGCTATTCTCTCCAAACCAGTGCCACCAAGAGATTTTTTGCATAGCACCGCAAAGTGGGAAATAGGTAGGGCAATTCCCACAAAAATGACCTTGTACGTGGTTCTGTATTCCGAAAAAGTACCTTGTTTGTCTGAGGAGAACTTTGACCAAATGCGCTTCTTCGTCGTTGTAAGTTAATAACACACGTTCCGCATACGATGGAACAGGATTCTTATAGGTGATGGAGACATCCTTGTATTCTATTGAGCGCCCACCCGTGATCGAAGCTAAAACATGCGAGATTAACAAATACCCATTGCAAAACTGCCGAGAGAACGGTAGATAACTTAACAAAACCAATTCCCTCTCCATTGGCCGACAACTTGTCTAATCCCCATGCCTAATTCCATATTTAAACAGAAGAATCACCTATCAGAAATGAGAGATGCCGTGAAGGAATCACTCCCCTCACCCAAGTTATTTCCATTCCATAGAATTGCGACAGTATTTTTGCACAATTTCACAACTTTTGAAGCAAAACATACCTTGAGCCGTTGGCGACGCACTGTCCTGAGACACTACTGGCATATGCTTATTGATCATGGTCTGTTTCGAAGAAATGCGTGCACCAGCGAAGACGATGCCTTCTTGATCGAGGACCTGAGTGCATGGAACTTTGAACATCTTCTAATAATTTTTTTCTCCAAAAACCACAGTT